CCTATACAGAGTCCCTATGAGTGAAGCCCACTCAGTGGCATTTAACAACAACAATCCTTATTTTACGGTTAAAGCTTTTTATGCTAACTTGTGCTTCAGTCAATTGATGTGCTTGAGTCTCAGGAGATGTGGAAAATCAAATGTGAATGCTAGGAAGGTATTGGCCTGGAGTTGCAAACCTTGCACATGTAAATGCCTGTTAACCCACCATTACTGGAAATAGCAATTCCAGTTTATGTTTAGTACAGAAGCATGAAGTCATATACACAAAAAGGAGACCAAGAAAACCCTGAAATGGCTGTAACACAAAGTCCTCACCATGTGCTAGGCCCTGTTCTAGGCACTTTACACACTGACTCATTTAATACCTTCATAGCAGTTGCTTTCTGAATGTGCCTTTCTGAGCACAGCCGCCCCCACAGTGCAACCCAGTACTAGGTTACACTCAACACCATCAACCACAGCCAGGAAAAAAAACCCACAGGCCTGAGAATGAATGAAAAAAATCAGGAAATCCTACTCAGGGGATCCAAAGTAAGAAAAAGAAAAGGGCAGTGTGTTCCAAAAAGCCCCATGAAGGAGCACAGATCATTACTGTGACAAGAATAATGGGATTAGGTGGCTGGCAGAGGGCCAAGTGGCAGAATAAGGCAGGGACTGACCTGCCTTCTCATTTCAAAGGCAGTTCACTGTGCTTTTAATCCTCTTAGTGAGAAATGACCATTTCATCGTGAACAAAGAAAATTAGGTATACTTCCTTATCAGCTTAGAGCAAGATTAATGATGAGTTAACTCCCAAGTTTCATAATTAGTAAGTGTTAGCTTTTTAAAATTTAAAAAAAAAATCTCCTCAGAACTGAACCTCTTGCAAGACAAAATTGAGATTCACATGATCTTCAGGAAGTACCAGGAAGAGTGAGTGTGATCTTGTTAGCTATAGTGACAGTTGGGGCAGTAATAATAGTAGTAATGATAGGTAGAGCAGCAGCAGCAGTAATCTTAGTAAGCAGGAGCTGTTAATGACGCTGACTGTGTGTCTACTGTGTGCCAGTCACTGCAATGATGACTGGACAGGAATCGCCTCATTCGATTTCACACATGCAAAAAGGATAACTAACGGAGGTGATATTTTTCCCCCATTATACATAATAAAAGTGAATCTTAAAGAGGTTCAGTAACTTGCCCAAGGTGACAGGGCTAGCAAGGGTGGCTTAAGAATTTCAAGGAGTCTCAGGGCAGAGCAAATGGTCACTGTGCTTGGCTACTAACTAAAAAGTTGGAGCCTCAAGTCTACCCAGAAGGACCTCAGGAGAAAGACCTGTCAATGGACTTCTAAGAAAGCAGCCTATGGAACACAGTTCTATTTTGATATACACGGGGTCACCACATGGGGTCACCATGAGTCAGACCCAACTCAATGGCAACTGGGTACTAGTGAGAATTTCAATCAATGCTGTTCACCCCAGAGCCTGTACTGTTAGCAACTATACAACTAGGGGGCTAGACAGTATGAACTTTTTCCTGCTTTTTCTCAGCTATCATCCCTTGTTCAAATTGTCCCTCGCCTGTTGGATGAGGGTCAAATCCTTAGACTAAGGCAAAGATATGCATATAAAGGCATTGACTTAAAAAACTTGAGAACAAAATTCAGCATTTATGACTATATTAATAAAACTACCGAAACAGGCAAGATGTGGATAGCTGAATCAAGAATGGACAGAGATTAATAATTACTGAAGTTGGTGATGGGACCATGAAGGTTCAGCCTACTCTTCTCTAGACGTTGAGCTATTTGAATTTTTCATCATAAAAGATTTAAAAATAGTTTTCATTTATTGAGAGTTTAAGTTTACTGAGTCAGTCACCTCCTGTAACTATAACTAAGTCATACCTCCCTAGGGCTCAAATTTTAGAAAGTTGTTAAAGGCTTACATTAAATAGTTTCATGCCCTCTCAATGACTTTTCTCCACTTCTTTGTGTCTATATGTAGATACACATTTTTACTGCTCCCCATTTCTTTCACAAACACGGTACATATACCATTCTCCACCTTGTTTGCGCCACATAACCATGCAATCCTGAAGATAACTTTTCATGCTGGTGAATACAGAGCTTCTCCCTGTCCTTTACAGCTTGTAAGTACTCCGTAGCATGGATCTATCATATGTTCACCAGGACACATGAGTTGTTTGCAAGCATTTGCTATTAATTCAAACAATGTTCTAATAAATATCCTTCTACACGCGTCATTCCAAGCACGTGCAGGGAGACCTGGAGGACAGATTGTCTTTAGTTTACTGAGGTAGCTGCAGTGATGTGCTAGCAAGTGTTCAACAGCCAGCTCGCCCTCAAAGAAGGCCCTGACTGTAGGCAGCACCTACTCATTTCCATGGTGTACATACAATTCAAGCTCCCAATGTGAACTCACTGCATATGAGTTGAGAAAACATGTATACACACAGATCTTGTGAGGTGGCTCCAATATACCACAAGGTTGCCGAGTCAGTAAGCACACATCTATGTTCTGACAGATGTATCAGATTCCACCCTCCAGCACTACCACCAACAAAACATGAAACTGCCTATCTCATTAAGGCCTTACCAACACAAGGTTGTCAAGTTTTTGCCTAAGTGAGAAGAGGCATCTCAACATCACTTTAACCTGAATATCTCTGTGTAGAAGGGAGGTTGATTTTATTTTAATGTTTGAGACTCACTCTCCTTTCTCAGTTAACTGTCTGGTCCGTCCATCACCCACTTTGCTGGCTATATTATAAGCATTTCACACACTTATATATTTGTCACAGCAGCTCTTTTAACAAGCGTATATAGACACAGGTTTCATGGGCCATGAAGCCTGTGCAATAAGGGAAGGGAGTTCGCTTGAAAACAGAAAATACAGAAACAGAATTAGGTATAAATGAACATTTATTTAGAATTTTCAAAGTCATTATTAATTCTCTGTAACTTAGAGATTCAGGCCCTCAATATTTTTAGACAGTTTACTGAAAAATGCTTACAAAGAAATGAATGGTCCCTAATTGTACATTGACTTATCCTCTTCACCTGGAACACTTGGAAACTCCTAGAGACACATAGCAGTCACCGGAGCCTGAAGTGTAAACTTCAATAGCTATAGCTCAAAATCTGTATTTGCCTAAAAGATGGGCATTATTAGTAGTACCATCTCACAGATGAGAAAACTGAGACTTAAACATGCCCTTTGTGACTCAACCCTGTGTGATTTTTGTTCGATTTCCCCAGTGGTCATAAACAGTTACTACATTTGAATAAATGTAACATTTCAATGGAGAGGACTATTAAAGCATATAATTTTCAATAATCATTCACCAGAGAAGAAACAATTCATTCAAAGCAAATTCCCAATTTATCTTTTGTGTTTTCAAGAAAAATTTACTCACCTTAAAAAGAAAAATTTATAAAATAAAAGTTTAAAGTCTCCTTAAATGTACTTAACTAAATAAATACAAATCAAATTGTAAAATTGTAAAAATAGTAAAGCCATTTTTAGGCATTTGGCTGCTAGCCAAAAGGTCCGTGGTTCGAACCCACCCAGGAGCTCTGTGGGAAAAAAGCCCTATCAATCTGCTCCCATAAAGACAGCTGTTGTTAAGTGACGTTGAATCGGTTCAGACTCATAGAGATCCTGAACAGGGTTTCCAAGGAGCAGCTGGTAGGTTTGAACCATCGACCTTTGCAGCGCCAACTGACCCTGACCTTGCAATTCCGTGTTTATCCTACAGTGGCACAGTGTCTTAAGAAATCATGGGGGAGAGTTCTACTCTATCACATAAGGGTCACTATGAGTCAGAAGGGGCCTGGCAGCACACAGGAACAACAAATACAGAGCTGCAGAGCCTATGGAATCATATGACAGTGTTTTTGCTGTGACGTTATAGGATAATCACTAGACTGCTAACCACAAGGCTGGCGATTCAAACCCACCAGTCACTCTTTGGAAATGCTGTACAGGATTGCTATTAAGTCAGAACGAACTCAAGGGCACTTAACAAACAACAGCACTTTCAGATGAACTCTTAACGTTTCTAATAAACAAGAAGTCGAATAACTTAGATATGGGAAGTCGTAAAACCTAGGCTAGAAAATAGGATTCTTGCGATCTGAACTCGAAAATAAAACATATTAGGTTGGTTAAACATTTTGGGTAAACAACATAAGTTAGAAACCAGTAATTCTCACCAAGGACGTTGCCAGAAGGTATTACTAGAATTTAGTATCTGCAATGAGGACAGTCCAGGAGGAAGAAATGACCAACCAAAATGCCAGAACCATCCCCACTGAGAAGGACTGAGAGCTACAAGGACTACTGAGACAGGCTTTTGTGGATATGAATTAAAATGAGATGTTAGTGTGGCTGTGTTAATACAGATCAGTCACCCCCAGGTCAGTAAGAAAATAAGATGATATGGAAGAGCTACCTTACACATCCACTTAACACTTACTGGAATCACATGCCTATGACTATCCAAAACAGCCCTGTGAAGCCAGATTTAAGAGTTAAACAAGCCCTAGGTTTCAAAAGTGCACAATTCTTTCAGCCACTTCTTCAGAAATTAAAAAGCTTTTAATTAATGTGAACAACATTTGAACTTCCAAGTTCATCAAAAATCTTTCTTGAAAAGTACTTTCCCTGGGGTTACATATCAACATTATTCAATCTGAAAGGTAGAAAAGCTAATAAATAACAATGGAATGAAAATCATTCTTTCTCAAAATGCTATGTACTAAAATGACATTATTTATAGGATGATCTAACAGGGATTTATCAAAATAGGAACACAGACTCTGTCTCAGACCCAAACATTCTCTAAATGTATGTTGGACAAAGCAGGACAGCCCAGTACATTCTTAAAACAGATTATATGCAATTTTATAACTTTTCTTGGGATGATGCTACATCCCTTGAAACTATAATACTTCAATAAACAATAAAGAATGTCCATTTTTACCCATTTACCTGCTATTTGTACTGAACCATCCTCACCCAAAAGAATATTTCCAGCTTTCAAATCCCTTTTAAAAAGAAAAAGAAGAGAGAATTTAACTGTAGAATACAGATTTTAGACATCAATTCACGTAGGAGCACTTCAAACATATCATATAATACAGCTGTTAAACTTATTATCTTATAAATATATCACAGATCTAAAATTGAACCATAGATTTTAAGTTACAAGGGTGGGTACATTGTGATTTTATGGTTAGTTCATAGGGAACTGCTGGGATTTTAGTTACAAATATTTTATGTGATATCATTATAAAGATTTAATCAAATGGCTAGTAAATACATTATTTTATGTTGCAATACTGTCATTTTATCAAGCATTAGAGCCTGGACTATGTAAAGCAATTCAGCCTCCATTGAAAACTGTTTCTAGGTGCAATTCCAAATTAATCCTATCACCTTCTTAAACAATGCATTGATCCATTTTTCTCCTCTGAAACTTCCTATTATCTTTAGGAAGCTAATGATTGTGTGATGCTGGTTATAATACTATGTTAATAGATAATACTATACTCTTTACTATATAGAAGCTATGCTGAGTAGTTATAACACTTAATAAAGAGAAGCAACAATTTAGAATCTATAGGATTGATTTCTAAAGAAACATGCTTTCTAATTATTGGGGGGAGTATAAATGATGAAAAGGAGCTCATGTAGCATAGTAGTTACAAATCGGACTGAGAACCTTAAGGTCAGCAGTTCAAAACTACCAGCTGTTCCGCGGGAGAAAGAGGAGGCTTTCTGCTCCGGTAAAGATTGACAGCCTCGGAAACCCTGTACAGGGTCGCTATGAGTCAGAACCGACTCCACGGCTCATAACCACCACCATCACCATATATGATTAAGGAGTCCTGGTATGGCGCTGTGGGTTAATGCGCCAGACTGCAAAGCCATTTGAACTGCAAAGTTGGTGGTTCAAGCTCACCAGCTGCTCCTTGGAAATCCTATACAGGGTTGCTATGGGTCGGAACCAACTCGATGGCACTTTACAACAACAGTTTGTATGATTAAATATATAGCTCTCTAATGATTCTTTCCCCTATGAGATGTTAGATTTACTCAAATACAATAGGTGGTTTAAAAGACCACTAAAGAGACACTCTGTCTATTACTTGGTGTATTAGTTAAGCACAAAGACTATAGAATCTACTAGGCCTGATTTACAAACTGTATCTCTAAGAGAGCCTCATCTCTTCATCTGTGAAATGGTTGTCGTTTACATTTATTATAAGAATTATATTATATTAAAGTAATACTGTAATAGCATCAGTTATACATTAAGTAATACTATAACAAAATTATAGCATATATAGGAAAATAAAGGAAATACTTGGTACTATTTTTAAAAGTCTACATAACATTGACTTATTTGAAACATCCAGCACACATATTTTATGCTGTCTGGTTACTTTAAAAAAAAAAAAGGAAAAAAACAACTAAAAAAAAAAAAAACCTGGTATTTTATATCACAGGAGAAAGTGAATTTAGTGTGTCCTGTTTCCCTCTCAACAACGTCAAGAAAGTTAATAAATTCCAATGTTTAAAACATTCTTACCTGTATTAGAAAGTCGGAGATATGTCATGGACAATTAAGTACATCTTAAGAGCAGTAGGATTACTGATTTTTTTTCATGAATTTACTAATACTTTTTGTTTTCTGCTATTATTTCAATGAAAGAGGATACACCAGTTCTAAGAATATCAAAACAATGCATCCAAATGTACTCTCCTGTTTCATTCCTGAAGCATGTGTCTCCTTGGACCACTTATAGTAACACTCCTGAGACGTCATACCTGTGAATCTGACCATTTCTGTGTAGATAATCTAAGCCTTCCAAAACTTCTTTAAGAATCGTGGCTATTATTGCCTCTTCCAGAACGCCGTTCTTGTGTTCTCCTCGGTTTACGATGTATTTTATGATATCCAACATAGAACCTACGCCAACAAACATAAGAATTGAAATGCCAGTTTCCTAAGCACCCTTGTTACGTTTTCAGAATGGAGCTCCACTATTTGGAAAAATAAGTATGTGGGGGCTTCAAAACGTGGGTGGGAAAAAATGGAATGAAAGGATAATGGAATTTTCCCACAAACTTTTTCAAGCCCCGACATTATTTTTGGTTTGTTTAACTCAAATATCCCCCAAGCATACAAACAATTGCAAGGCAGCCCTGTCACCTGAAACATTACATCCAAGTTTGCAAGAGCATGTTCAGTGTGAATTTAATGAGAAGGAAGAACAGTGTCAGGAACCCAGAAGATTACTCTGGGCCACTTCCAGGCTGGTCCCTTTTCCCTACACATAAAATTAGTTACAGAATGAAAAGAAGGTTCAAGGTGTCAGAACTGAAAGGAAAGGAGGAGGAAGGTCAGGAGAAAGACAGCAGAGAATCTTGAGAGAGACAGAAGCCCAGCTCTTCCTCAGAACCACCTAAAACCACAGGTGGGAGAGGGAAAGAAAACATGTGTTGCCTCTAGATCTCTGGGCTTATGACCAGTAGGTTCCTTTCTGTGACTCTAGGCTATCTTTATTTTCATTTTCCTGGCAGTTGATGTTCTGACTTTCATAATAAAGAACTAACTACTCAGTACATTGTTACTATAAACAGATTAGTATCCTTGGCATTGTAAATTCATGTTTCAACACATATTAATTAATATTCCAAACCTCCAGGTCATTTTAAAAGCCATAATTACCTGGGGTTCAACATTTCTAAAGAGTGAACAAATGGCTTACCTCAGGACCTGAACGTGGCTGCAGGCTCTCTATGATTAACTAAGAGGATTGAGTTTTCCCACCCGATATTACTCCACCAGACTAGCTGCCTGCCCCTCACTAAGAGATTGATGTGATATAACACAGAAGGAAATGAATGCATATTCCCCAGCTCAGAGAGACACAAAACTTCTGTTTCTTCATTGACTTTTGGATTTGGAATCATTTAGGAAAGAGTAATTCCAAAAAACATTTTATTTCTATTTTATAAGGGTACATACCGTGCCAGGAATGTAATATGTACTACGTCTGGCCTGCTAAAAGAAAAATGAGGAGTCCATAACTACTCACATTCACCTTACCACAGGAGACCTGTGGAAAATCTGTGTCCAGACATTAAATTAAGTCTTTTTCAAAGACAATGACGTCTTATGTCAGGCCCTCAGAAAAAGGAATGGGGACAACGTGAAGCTTAAAAGAGTTAAAGCTAGGTTGGATAAAAACCAGGAGAAGAGGAAAAATCCTCAACTTGAATGATGCATTTAGGGTTACTCAGGGTCTCAGATTACTAGAATTTGTTTCCTCAGAGTTGGTGAAGCTGTACAAGAGACCAGGCTAAGACAATCTGGTGGCCCAAGCAGGATCTCCACAGATGGAAGGAGCAGTGCAAACACTCAACAGGGCAGTAAATCTCTGGCAAGATTCCTTTTGCTTCTTTTCTTTCCTTTTTAATTAAAAAGCAAAGTAGGCACTCAAGGAAACAATGACTAATAGGAATGAGAAAGACTGGGAACAGAACAGAATTAAGCTCTCCCAGGCTCCCTACTGAGACCTGTACAAGCAGACCCAAGCCAATTACAATGCGTTTGTCATCTCATTTCTGGGCCTCTGCTTGAGTCAAGAGTTTCTTCAAGGAGAGGGAAAAAAATGAAATTAAGACGACTTCCTGGTTCTGCTTTAGCTTGGGGCTGGTTTTGCAGATAAAAATGGGTTCTATCATATAAATTCTGGGGTACAACACTGGAGTCCTGCTGTGGCACTATACAATAAGCACTGGACCACAAGTTTGGTTTGAACCTCAAAGTGGGCAGTTCAAACTCACCAGCTGCTCCTCAGAAATGCTATACAAGGTTGCTATAATGTCAGAAACGACTCAAAGGCACTGAACAACACACCAGCTTCAGCTTGGTCCAGGCACCACAAAGTGCTCTCCCTACCAGAACGAATGATCCTCTCTTCCTATACCACTGAATGTCTCAGAAACATAGCCAGGAAGTGACACCCTGGCAAGAAAACACACTCCAGATGTGTGCATGCTAGGTGTCATGAAGAAAATTCCTTGGACTTCCTAAGCTTCAATTCTCAGATCTGAAGGTGATAATACCTGTAGGGAACATGGTGGCTCTGTAGGATAAGCACTGGACTGCAAACTGCAAGAGGTCAACGGTTTGAGTCCACCAGCTGCTCCCTGGGACAAAGATGAGGCTTTCTACTCCCACAAAGATTTACAGCCTCAGAAAACTAATGCAGGGTTTCTAAAACCACAAATTCAAGCACTAACAATTACTACGTGTGTAACTGAGCTGTGGTTTTGTTTCTGGAAAATGGGTCCAGTGACACCTACCAGTCAGGGTGGTTGCCACGGTATGTATGTATATGAGACTTTCGTAAGGCACTTTAAACTGTATCTAACCAGAAAGTTAAGTGTTCGATAAAGTTGAGAGTTATCATTAGCATTCTCTATCATATACGATGTTAAAAGATTAAAAAGATATAAAACCAGGGATGTGAAAGTGTCTTGTAAATTTAATTGGCTTTTAGAAATTCAGTGATTTGGAGCTAGAAAGGGAAAGATGAATTCAACATCCCAAATGCAAAATTAGTTGAAAACAACTTCTCTTCAATACTGAAAGCATATAATCTAATCTGGATCTCTCTCCATTTCAATCACAACAATGTTTACTGAACATCCAGTTATACTAGGTTTCATGAATTAGAAGTGTGTTGTTGTTGTTATGTGCTGTGGAGTCGGTTCTGACTCACAGCGACCCTGTACAGGGTTTCTGAGGCTATAAATCTTTACGGGAGCAGAAAGCCTCATCTTTCTCCTGCGGAACAGATGGTAGTTTCGAACTGCTGACCCTGAGGTTAGCAGCCCGATTTGTAACCACTATGCTACCAGAGCTCCTTGTTGTTGTTAAGTGCCATCGAGTCAATTCCGACCCATAGCGACCCTGTATAAGGTTCCCAAGGAGCAGCTGGTGAGCTTGAACCGCCGGCCTTATAGTTCAAACAGCTTTGCAGTCTGGCGCCTTAACCCACAGCACCACACCAGGACTCCAGAGCTCCTCAGGCAGGTCTAAATCTGCACTGTCCGATACCACAGCCGCGAGCCATGAGGTTATTCAAATGTGAGCTAATCAAAACTGAATACTAATTCAGCCACATTTCAAGTGCTCCACAGTCACATGTGACTAATAGCTACCAGACCAACAACTATAGAACAGTTCCTTCATCACAAAACAGTTCAATTAAAAGGTGCTGAAACAGTTCATTATACTCGTATTGCAGTATGTAAAAAATAAACAAAGAGTTTAATTAAAAGCAAGAATACAAACACAGTCTCGCATACCGGAGTTCACTGCAACACTGTTCACAAAAGCCAAAAGGTGAAAACAGTCTCTAAAGGTCCATCAACGGATGAATGGAGAAACAAAAATGCGGTACATACATGGAAAACTGTTACTCAATCACAAAGAGAAATGAAGTCCTGAGAAAATTAATTCACTCACAGAAGAACCAATATTGTATGATTCCACTTACATGAAATATCAAATACAAGAAAGTATAGAGAGACCAAAGTTTGTTAGTGGTTACCAGAGGCAGAAGAGAGGGAAAGTACGGGAAAGGACTTATTGTTCAGGGAACACTGAGCTTCCACTAAGAGTGAGGGGAATTTTGGGGAATGGATAAGGTTATTGCCACTGAACTGCGCAAAGAAGACCTGAAATGGCAAATGTTTCATTTCATAAATGTTTAGAATTTTATGGAAAAATATATGGAAGAAAAGAAAAGGGTTTTAAGAGGAAAGATTGGTTAACTCCTTTGAAGAGAATTAGGGATGGTTGCAGAAAGGTTATATAGTCTTTTAGGACTTACAGACAGAGTCGGGGGGTAGAGAGTGGGAGTGAATGGGGGGGGGGCGGGGGCACCTAGGGCTGAGTACAGTAAAGAGCCCAGGGGCATCAGTGTACATAACTTTTAGGGAGCCTCACCTAGACCAGGATGTACATCTTCAGGGAAGTTATACTGGAAAATGAAAGCCTCTGAATGTCATTGAGAAGACATCTGGAATTAGTATAAAGGCAATGGCAAACTAAATAAAACTTTTAAAAGTAGAAGGGAATTGAATCTACAGTCATACTCAATATGTTGCCTCCACAAGGGGGAAAAAAGCAAGTAACCCAACAACAACAAAACCCACTTACCTCCACTTAGCAATTTCATAACCAGCCAAAGTTCATCTTTCACCACAAAAGAGGTGTAATAGGTCACTACGTTGGGGTGGCTGCACTGACTCATGGCTTGAATTTCTTTCTATAAAGAGAGCAAAACATGACATAGTACCAGGGGATGAAAAGTAGGAAGCAAAGCACAATTGAAACACAGAGGAAGAACTTGGGGGTCTTGGCACATCTGAGGGGGTGCCTAAACCATTACTTCACAAACATTACTTGAAGACTAACTCTTTCACATTATCAACTCGCTAGAATTAAAATATCCTCCACAGGATATCATATTGCCCTATGGACTATCCACAGAACACAGGAACTTGAGATCAGCACATCCCCCAGAAAGCCCCCCACTCTTCCAACAGAGAACCCTGCCATATATGACTAAGTACCTCCTATCTGAACTAAAGCCCATGACACAGAGATAAAAGACTGAGTGAGTTATTTGGAGAGCTGGGTCCTGGTGCCAGCCTGAACTCTGGTAGCTCTTAGCTCCTCCTTCATCCAAAAGGGGGCAACAAAACGTCCTGTTTCTCAGGACGGCTGTGACTGTAAATGACAAAATACACGTGAAAACGCTAGAGTATCATTCGCTATCTTCCATGGCAGCTGTTCCATTGTGAAAAAAAAACAAGGAAGGGAAGAGGCAGGCAGAGTAAAATAAGTTTGGGAACATCAGAAACTGTATCTCACTCTTAGGAATCAGAGGGAATAGTAGTACTACTAGAAAGTCATAAGAAGCCCTACAGTAGAAAAGTCTGCTCATAGTTTAATCCATATTAACATCACAGAGCAAGAATGCTCAGGAGATAGCAAAGTTTTACATAAATTCACAGAACGAGCTTTGGAATAAAACGCACGGGCACCTTCAAAAAAAACCCACATTTTTTCTACAATCAGCAGGTTCATATCAGCTTTGTGTTGTTGTGTCAAAATATTGATAGGTAATTCCTATGAAGGTTTAGTGGAATGTTAACTTTCAGTCAAAGAGATCAGACCAGCATATTCTTTAAAGATGCTGTCCAAACACCACAGAGTATCCTAACCATCACGGAAATCTCATGTACACTACTATATGTTTATGATTTTTGCTAAAAAAAAAAAATCATTTTTAAATTTTTTATGCATCTTATAAATATTTTCTATAACAATGAGTCTTCTAACTTTTTTTTTTTAATGTTTTATTGTGAATTGTGTGACAGTCTACATGGGAGAACATCAGCTTTACATTCATTCCATCATCCATCATTTCATTGGCATAGTTATCATCCTGTCTTCTAACTTTCTGAATTGATTAAAAATTACCCAGAATATTCCAAACAGGGCTGTTCCCTCAGCATATCTTTGTTGTTGTTGTTGT